ATAATAATAATAATAATAATAATAATAATAATAATAATAATAATTCTTCATGGGCCTCACATCCTGAGAAGGGACCAGCTCCAGGAGTTGTGATTACGGCGGAGACAGAGGGTTGGTTGTGTGTTCGTGAGCAACGTAATGGTGGTATTCGATTTCAACGACGTTTACGATCCGGTAGTGATCCTTTTTGTCTCTGCTGGGGATCTATTTCTTCTATTAGTTCTTCCTCTTCATCAGAATGTCATTTCTTTGCTGGACAACAATGTGGATTAGTGACGATGTTGCGATTGACGGGAGAGACCATTACGGAAATGGCGGATTGTGTATTGCATGAGACTCCCATTGTCGCCATGACTCGAGTTGTCTCTTTTTCCTCTGGTATGAAAAAAGATATATCTATACAGTCAGAAGGAACTTCTACTTCTACTCTGGCCAATACTACACAATATCTCTTATTAACATTAGATACAAGTGGAATACTGGGAGTGTGGAATATCACCACAGGAGATGTGCATTGTTTATATACCGTACAACTTCGAAATCCACCGGTTCGTTGTTTGACATCATGTGAATGGGATACACCTGGATGTGTATTTATTCCTGGCGGCATCATCATCACAGATGAGGTGATGACATCACCCCACAAGGATACAATAAATAGTAATAACATCAATAACAATACAGAGAAGGTAAACTCTTCTTCTACTTCTACTACTACTACTTCTACTACTACTAGTTCTTGTTGTTTAGATATTGAACTTCTGCGTCTCCCCTCATGTGAAATGGGAAAGATGTGGGAAACTCTATCCATCTACACAGGTGCAGAGACGCCTGTTATCTCCATGGCCATTGTCCCTCGCATAGGATCTAGTGGTAAAATAGAATCTACACTGTGGGGAGGAACAGAAGGCGGGACTCTGCATATGTGGGATGTGGCCAGCCGTACACCCCTGCGAGTCATTAAACCCTCTTCTATTTCTAATTCTAATTCCTCTTCTTCTTCTTCTTTCTTATCATCATCCATTCATTATATTTTGTCCGCACCGCATGTGGATGCTCAACATGTGTGGGTGTGTACACGTGGAGGAAGAATGGCGGTGTGGGATGCAAATGCCTTTTTATTATTATGTGAATTGCCAGTTAGTTATCCAAAAGGTCCCGCCTTATCAGAAGGAAACCCTAATGTTTCTTCTTCTTCTTATCATCATCATCATAATAGTCGTCCTCCTCGTCGTGAGAAATCTTCTGATCATACTTTACAACATCTTGTGGAGGATGTGAGAGATGCACCCAATCACTTTACTCTCTTTGTATATCCCATTGAACCCGTGCAAACTGTACGTTTATGGTCGGCAGCAACAGACGGTACCGTACGCTCATGGTTGTGCCAAACCAAAACAACAACAAGAAGAGAAAGTAAGAAGTGTAGTAATAATAATAATAATAATAATAATAATAATAATAATAATAATAATAATAATAATAATAATAATAATAATGGAATTGATAGAGCCACTGTACGTGCCTTTATTGAGAGAAAAGCAAAATTGTTTACACATGAAACCACAAGTTTGCGTGAGAGAATAGCACAACTCACTCAGGAGGTAAATGCATTACAGGCGCGGAATCGTGTATTGGCAGAGGCTCTCAAAACTGCTATTGCTCATATCTCCATTACAAAGAATACAGATACTACTATGGATAACAATAACAACAAGGAGGAAAGTAATCATGAGGATAAAAACGAAGTGAATGATGATAATAATAGAAACACAATAATAGATATGAGTAGTCTCCCTGTAGACTCTCCACTTCCACAACGGCCCCCAATAGAAATATTAGATGAAGAAAGCCCACACATAGATGCTATGCATTCCGCATTAACAGAATTACAAGAGAGACTGCAAAACGCATATAATAAGAATGAACAACTCCTCGCTGATAAAGAAGCCTTAAATATCAAAATACATGAATATTCATCTCAGTTAGAAGCGAGAGAGTTAAATGTCTCATCATCATTGATAGATTCACAAAACGCCTTGATGACTCAGGAGAAGGATCAGAGTGAAGTATCCTTATTACAACAACAACTTCTTGTATGTGAAGAAGAAAAGATGATGTATATTAATCGTTGGCGAGATGAACAAATATCTCGTGAAGCTGTTGATGAAAAGTGTAAAGCTTACGAAGGACATATTCTTTTACTACAGGAGGAATTAGGCCGCGTTAAAATGTTATCATCTATATTGGCATCTAATACTTCCTTATTAGATGATAAGGATAAACCAAAATGTTCTCAGCATAATGAAGGTGGCTATAATAAACATAATTATAATCATGATGACACGAATGAAAGTAATAATACCATTAATACCATTAATGTTAATAATAATGACACACATGCAGTAAAGTTGCTTGATTTTTATGTTAGAACAATAGAAGAAGATAAGAGGGAGTTTAACGATAAAGATATAACTTTACAAGACTCCGAGATGATAACAAGGATGAACCCCTCATCTTCTCAACATGTTAACAAGCAAGATAAGATACGATTAGAGTGGGATCAGATTATACAAGCACGTGAAGAAGTTAAGGAACAGGCATTACAACTGCAGCGTATGCACGAACAACAACAACGAAAAGAAGAAATACTTTTGGGACATGCGGAACGACTGTGTGCTTTAGAAGAAGAACTCCGCCGTGAAGAACGCCGATTAATGCAATGGAGACAAGTGGGTCGGTAAAAGAGAGAGAGAGAGAGAGAGAGAGAGAGAGAGAGAGAGAGAGAGAGAGAGAGAGAAAGAGTTACTGGATTGAGAAAAATGATTCAAACAAGGAAAACCAAATAGAATAGATATTTACTATCAGTTGCCTGTACACTATTGGTGTTGCTTTTGATGTATCGTTATTTTATTATTATTATTATTATTATTATTATTATTATTTATTTATATTTTTTATTATTTTTTTTGAGTTATTCTTTGCATCTGGAAAGATTATATCTGTATGCGTCCTTGTTGTGTGTATTTCTATTTTTTTCCTTATTTTCTTTATCATCCTTTGTTGTTTTTTTTTTTTTGTTTTTTTCTTTCTCTGTATTTATTATATTCTTTTTATTCTTTTTCTTTCTTCTTCACCCCACTTTATCAGACGGAAGAAAAAAAAGAAAAGTAAAAAAAAGAAAAGAAGAAAAGAAAAGAGCGACGGCATGCCGCCCAGCCGAGTGGAGGAGGCCCTGCGGCTCTTCGCCACGCTGCAGAATACATTAGAGGCCGAAACTCGGCAGAGTGAAGTTCACACGGCAACTCTGCGGGCCGAAACCCCCAAGCCGTTGCTGCGAGTCTCGCAGTCCTCCTCCGCCTCTTTTCACTCCTCCTCCTCCACTAGTCCATTCACAACAGATGGAGGAAAAACAAAAACAAAAACAACAAGAGCAGCGGCAGCAGCAGCCGCAACACCAATACCAACATCATCATCATCCATCTCTTCATCATCTTTATTGGTATTACCAGCGGCCGCCTCCATGGAGGAGTTAAGACGAAAACTGGAAGTGGCAGATGGCATCATGAAGCGTCTGCATGGAAAGAATCAACAGTTAGTGCAGCGAGTTAGTGCGTTGGAGCGGGAAAAAGAGACAGGGAATACAGTAGAGGTTTCTGCAGAAGTAGTTCGTCTCCGAGAGAAGTTAAGACGACGAGAAGAAGAAGTAGCTCAGTTAAAGAAACGACTGAAAAATGTTGAGGAAACAGTAGAGCGAGAATCTTTTAGTTCGATGTGCCCTCCCCACCTAGTGCGGCGTATACAAGCCCTGGAAAATCAATACAAAGAGTTGCTTGATATTAAAATTGATGCTGTTTTAAAAGAGGATTCAGTAGAAAAGATTAATGCAGAAGTAAAAAAACTTTTTTCACATATGAAGAATAAGATGATGACGGACGCTTCTCAACATGAGGAAGAGGTTAGACGACTCAATGAGACTCTCGTTGAGGCGGAACGTCGACTTGCAGTTACCTACAAGAATAGAAAGAACTGTACATAGTTGCTCTAGATTAGAGAGAGGTCTGGTGAGGTGAAGGGAGAGGAGGAGAGGATGATACATTTCTTTTTCTTGATTGTCTGTACTCGTCTAAATGTCTATGGATGTACATGTGCATGTACGTGTGTATATAAATATATACATATATATCTGTATCTATATCTATATACATGGATTTCTGTGATTTCCTGAAGAAAAAGAAAAAAAAAACTCTATGTGGTAGGAGAAATCTCTCTTCAGGAAGGAAATATAGAAAGAGTGGGAGGCATAAGGAAAGAGAGAGAGTGTGTGGGTGTGTGCGATAGTGTGACAGTGACAGTAAAAAGTATATGTCTGAGTGGTTTTGTATATATGTATATTTTTTAGGCTACGATAATTCTGTAAAGGGTGACAAGTATTTTTATTTTTATTTTCTTTCTTTTTCTTTCTTTCTTTTTTTTGTGATGTCTTTCCCTTTTTTTTTTTTACTCTTTTTAAAAGAGTGACTGACTTACTGACTGGCGATTAAGTAGGTGAGAAAAGAGAACAAAGAAAAAAAAAAAAAAGGAAAAAAAAAAAGAAGGTCTGAGAAAAAGGGGGGTCCTCGACACTCACGCATACACGTTGTTGTTATATCTACGCAAACATTACAAACTCTTGTAAAGAGGATTAAAACACAGAAAAGGATAAAAGAAAAAAGGAACAAATCAATAAACCCAGACGACGTCATGTCCAACCGTCAGATTATTCAAGTCTTTGAAGAGTACCAAAAGTCTCGTGTGAAGTTTGTGCAGACGGTGGCGGATTTAGCCTCCAAGCCGCAGCATATTGATGCCCTTCAGCAGGCTGGTGTAATGCAGTTACTGCGGCCCCTCCTCTTAGACACCGTTCCCTCCATTCAACAATCCGCCGCATTGGCGCTTGGCCGCCTGGCGAACTATAATGAGGAGCTCGCTGAGAATGTGGTCTCGGGCGATATTTTGGCCCAGTTGGTCTACTCCCTTGGCGATCAAAGCCGATTCTACAAGAAGTCTGCTGCCTTTGTGCTGCGCAGTGTGGCGCGCCATAATGCCCAACTCGCCCAGGCCGTTGTGGACAGTCAGGCGGTGGAGGCCCTCGTCGGGTGTCTGGAGGAGTTCGACCCCACCGTGAAGGAGAGCGCCGCCTGGGCGCTGGGCTACGTGGCCCGCCATAATGCCCAACTCGCCCAGGAGGTGGTCGACAAGGGCGCCATTCCGCCGCTGGTGCTGTGCGTGCAGGAGCCGGAGCTTTCACTGAAGCGCACCGCCGCCGCGACGCTGTCGGATATTGCGAAACACTTGCCGGAACTCGCGCAGGCGGTGGTGGATCAGGACGCCGTCACGCACCTCGCCCCACTCATCACGAGTAATGACAACAAACTGCGGCGGCAGGTCTGTCAGTGTCTCGCGCAGATTGCCAAACACAGTGTGGAGTTGGCGGAGCTGGTGGTGGAGGGGGAAATCTTTCCCAAGATCTTCACACTCCTCAAGGATAGCGATGAGGTGGTGCGGAAGAATGCCGCCACGTGTATTCGTGAGATTGCGAAACACACACCGGAGTTGGCACAACTCGTCGTGAATGCCGGCGGTGTTGGGGCACTTGTGGATTACACCAGCGAATCCCGCGGGGCCGCACGTCTGCCGGGCATCATGACACTTGGTTACATCGCCGCCTTCTCGGAGACACTCGCCCTTGCGGTGATTGTCGCCCGCGGCATCACTCCACTCGCCGACGCTCTTGAGCGGGAGGCGGAAGATCACATTAAGGCCGCCGCCGCCTGGTCACTCGGGCAGATTGGGAGACACAGCGCCGATCACGCAAAGGCCGTCGCCGATTGTAATGTACTGCCAAAATTGTTAGATGTGTATTTAAGTCCTAATAGCTCAGATGATTTACGTACAAAGAGTAAACGGGCATTGAAGAATATTATTCAACGATGTGTGCAACTACCAGCATTGGAACCACTTCTTCACCCAGATGCTCCACAAAATATTCTTAAATACGTCTGCGGACAATTCGCAAAGGTCCTCCCTACAGATATTGCGGCAAAGCGGGAGTTCGTCGCCAATCGCGGTCTCGCCACAGTTCAACGTATTCGGGCAGAACCAGGCTCTAAATTGGCAGAATACATTCAAAGTATTAACAACTGCTACCCACCGGAGATTGTTCAATACTATTCCCCACAGTATGCCCAGACATTCCTGGAAAAGATAGAAAACTACCATGTGCAGCAGGTTCAGCAGCACTAGACGTTCTTTTTCATTTTCTTTTTTTTCTTTTTTTTTTCTTTTTCTTGTATGTGTTTGTTTCTTCTTCTTTGTGGAGAGTCGGGGATTGGGGAGAGAGATAGAGAAATATTGGGAGGATGAAAGAATGAGACGGACTGATTCCATTATCCTCACCTCACCTCAAAGCAAAAGAAAACAAAACAAAAGGAAAACAAACCAAGAAAAAAAAAAGATATGAAAAGAAATAAAAAAAAAGAAACGAAAAGGAAGTCAGCAAACCAACCAACAAAACAGACATACGTATTGTATACATATATATAAATATATGTGTGTATATATAATTGTCTGGTATACAGACGACGTAATGTAGAAAAAGAAAAAATGAGCAAACACATTTACACAATAGTGTGGAATGGCGAAAGGAAAAAAAAAAAAAAGAACAAAAAAAAAAAAAAANAAAAAAAAAAAACAACGGCAAAGAAGATGTGAAGCGGAGCAGGTACGATAAAAAAAAAAAAAGAGTAAAAAAGAAAGATTATGAAGAATTATGGTCCTTGAAGGATGGTGGTGACTGTAATAGTGATGATAAAGATAAATAATAGTGGTTGTTGTAGTGGTTGTGGTGTATGGTGTATGAGATGGCAACATACAAATGTATATGTACACTGGATGGACTATTTTTCTTTTTCTTCTTCCTTTACTCAATTTCTTGACCTTTATTTTCTGATTTACTCACTCACTCACTCATTTACTTCACCTTTTCGCTCAATTGCACAATTTCTTCTCTTGTTTTTTTTTTTAGTGCATATGGGGTTGTACATATGCGATGAAAGGGAGAGCGGGATTTGTTAAAAGAACTGAAGAGATGCCTGTTTTTTTTTTTCTTTTTCTTTTTTTTTCACTTTCTCTTTTCTGTTGTGTGGCTGTTTCTCACAGATTGAATGTATGGAAAATCAATGCGCACTACTAGACTGTAAGAATCCCAACAGCAACGTAAAACAAACAAAACAAAAAAAAAAAGAGAGGAAATTAATTTTCCTCACATGACAAAAGTGTTGGAAAAATGGATTTATTCTTATTTCTCAGATTGTTTTCTTTTTTATCTATTTGATATATTAAATGCTGTTTATTCTCTTACTTTTTTGTTTCTTCTTTTTCTTTTTCTCTTCTGTATGACGTTTTATTATCGGGTATCAGGTTTTGACAGGGAAATAGTTTTTAGCTGTTGAGATAAATAGGGAGAGAGAGTGAGTTAAAAGAAGGTCCCAAAGGATATTTTCTCTCTCTTTCTCTCTCTGTGTTTGTTTGCCTTCACAGAGAGAACCACATACAACGTCAAGCCAAATGTACATTGGTTTAAAATAGTTCAATACAAATACATTCCTTTCGTGTTTTTTAATTTTATCTTATTTTATTTCTTAGTTGCTAAACCCCCATCAAAAATGAAAACCTCGCGGAGTGCAGATGCGGCTCTGGGAACAATTTTAGCTACTGGAACTTCTCCAAGTAAAAGACGACGTGTGGAGAGAAGGAATATGTACAATCTTTGGAAACAAGAAATTGCCCATTTTGTGGATGCCTCCATGGCAGCAGAAACAATCACAATCACAACAACAACAACACCAGTGGTGAATAATATAAGTCATTCATCTGGAATAAATAATGGAGGGTTTACTCGAGAAGAAATTGTGTTGAACACATATCGTCTCTTGCGTGCTTGTTGGTTTTTCCGTGGCGATCCCGGCGATACGTTTGAGCCTGTGCGATCGATGAACTTCATCACACAGAAACTCCTAATGAAGTATGGAGGATATACGTTAACCAATGATGGGCAATATCTTTTTCTTGCAAGTGAGGAGAAAATGTCGCGTGTTGGATTTCTTCTCTTTATTCTCCATCAATTATTAATGGAATACGGTGGTTTCACCACTGTACAATCACAACATCAACTGAATGTGAAGAGAGGAATGTCATGTATGGATCCAACAAGACTCTTCACTGGAGAGACGGAGTGGTGTATAGTGACAGTGAGAGGTGATTCTCTTGTTGGATTTGGGGCTAATTCAAACTGTTTAGAGCCCTTACAAAATCATCACATGTTATTTATGCAGGATTTATTACGTAATGTAATTCAGACAACATCTCCTAAAGTGATACTATTGGGAAATACAGTATTAACAATGAATGATGTTCACTTACTTGCTAATAACAGTCTTCACGCGGATTGTTTTGCGGCGCAACACTATAATGGACATCATATTGCTTGTTTTATTCCCAGTAAAAGAGATGCGTGGGGAACAGGAAAAGGAAGAGAAAGAGGAATGGGAATAACAACAACAGCATTAGTGGGAGATGTGGAGTTTGAGGATTGTCTTGGACATGCCGTTAGTTGTGGATCGCGACGAACAGAGAATGGAATTGTACATGCCGTTCTCCTTAGTCCCGTAGGACCACTACTAATTCATGCGGAATGGTACAATGGAAACACTAATAATAATAATAATAATAATAATAATAATAATAATAATAATAATAATAATAATAATAATAATAATAATAA